TCCCACAAGAGTGTCCCGCGACAGTGTCCCACAAGAGTGTCCTACAAGAGTGTCCCACAAGAGCTGCCTACAACAGTGTCCCACAAGAGTGCCCCACAAGAGTGTCCCACAAGAGTGTCCTACAGGAGTATCCCACAAGAGTGTCCTACAAGAGTGTCCCACAAGAGTTTCCACAGAGTGTCCCACAAGAGTGTCCCACAAGAGTGTCCCACAAGAGTGTCCCGTAAGAGTGTCCCACAAGAGTTTCCTACAAGAGTGACCCACAAGAGTGTCCCACAAGAGTGTCCTACAAGAGTGTCATTTGGACATATGTAGCTTTTTGAACGTGTTTGCATTCGGGTTCGTGGGCTCCATCTTGTTCTTTTGTGGGATCGTTTTAAATCTTTACTATTAGATTTCCAAAAACTTTGGCTAGCCAAACCTCATCCAGAAAACCAAAGAAACCCTAACCCAAAACTTGCACACACCCTAAGCCTAACAGTCAAGACTTGCACAAGAATCTTCCCATCTTCCAAACCTTTAAACAAATAACAAAAAACAATCAAACAGAAACTATACCCAACTGGCCCCCAGGTCCCTCGGAACACGCCACGATGTTTCCTCGAGGTCTATAGGGTCCAACTGCCCGATGGAGGCGCGTGGAGGAGACTCAGCTGCCCTAGGTGGCTTTGGCTTGCCACCTGACTAGGCCACCAATAAATAAAAGGTTCACTGAGACCAAAGAAAAGGGTGGATGCTAAAAGATTAACTTTCTATTGCTTCCCAGATACTCCGGACGCACCACCTTCCTACGCGACGGACCCGATCCTTATGCCCTTTCCATTGCTTCACGTCTGGATTCTTAGGGAGTGTGCTTTTTGGCAGCTCAGCAAGAGTCTTGGTCCTGGTGAAGGCCCCAAAAAGATTGGTGGGGAACAACGCAGACTTTGGGGGTCAAGGAAACCACTTGGATCCAAGTGGTGTTTCAGCCCAAAAGTACTTTGGGGGGGCTATATTATGAGGGGATTCTCAGAGATGGGATGGGTCAGAGAGGTTCAGGGCAAGAGATACGGTTGCTCCCCGACAGTCCAGCTATCCCCTTCTTGCTCGGACCATTTTGGCGGAGAGAACACTTGTTGGTTGGACTATTTTGCTGTGACCGTGGCTGGACTGCTGGACAACCCAGCAGATGGCCGTCCTATCTTTGGAGCGTGAGCAAAAAAACAAGTTGCAATGAACGTGCTTGCCTGGCAGCATAGCAATGGCCAGAGAGGTGTGTTTCCATTTGTTCAACTCAGTTGCTTGTTCTTCAGTTCGGTCGCAGATATGTGAATTGTATGCTTCATTCCAGAGACGCCTGGCGAGTTCTCCTGCGATTTCCTTGAGCATCTGCACACCAATATATTGCTCAAGGAATCTTAAGATGTTGTTTAAGATTTATTAGCTACATAGAGGACTTTAGGTTCAGATGTTTTCTAATTATACTATATATATATATGAGGATGATGGGTGTGTGTTTCAATAAATGCATGTCCTAGTGGAGACGGAACATCAATATGTTCGGCTTTCAATACGTTTGATCGCAAAACCAAACATGTCAAGCATACAGCAGACCCTAGCCTTTCCACTACAGCCTGAGTGAGAATCCAGTGGCCCCCGCTTTCGTGGAGGCCTGTCCCCGGCAGAAGATGACAAGGTCGTCGCAGGGAGCCACAGTCTCTATCGAGTTAAGCCGACGAACATCTAGGGATCCCAAATGCCCCTAGTAGCGTCCTTGCTCCTAGTAGTGAGGCCAGGAGCCCCTAGTAGCATCCTTGCTCCTAGTACGGAATGGAATGCAAAACCGAGTGACCGGTCGGTGGCTGGGCTTTTAGTTGTGGAAAGAAGAACCAGAGCCTCCATGAATTTTGTGATGAAGAGTTTGGTCGTTGTTTGTAGTCTGGCTTGGCGGGCTGAAGGGGAGACCAAGGATAGAGAATCAAAGGGATAATTGCCTGAATATTGGAAACCTCTTACTGATAGTTTCAGCGCCGCGCATTATTGTCCACTAGCCTTCCAAATACAATGCTCCAGACAATCCATGTATGGCACATTAGCTACATTGAGCTGTTGTAACTAAGACCAAGTGATACCATTTTCCCAACCAAAGTCACCAGTCTTGCTCCACCGCTAGTTCTCAGCTCTTTGCTTTCCCCAAGAGAAAACAAGGTCGGGACATGTGTCGAGACTTTGAGAAATTGTTGTCTTCAAGTTGATTCCCCTCCGCCACAGGAAGTCTAGGCAGCCAGACGTTAAGAGAACCAAACACAACTTGCGGTTGCCGACTAAGAAGAGTTTGAGATGAAACCCTCGGAAAGGACATCAAGGAGTGAAATAACTGCTCAGAGTAGCCTAATTCCCGCTCTGGCAAAGAGTAAGTTAATGTCCAGCAGAGGCGCAATGCATATAACAATCTGAAGACAAAGGCGATCTGATTTTGACATTTGTAGGATCGCTCGATTGTATACACCATGAGATTTTGAAGCATACGGCTGGCACTGAGTCTTTGCATACTGGGCAAAAACGTTCAATACCAATTGTATACCGGGATCGTTCCTGCGTTTGTGCCTGACTACAGTCCACCTTGTGGATCATCGAATGCAAGTGCAATAACGCTTGCCAACTCATCTAACTCTTATGCTGTATATAGTTTGTGCAGCCCGTTGCTACTGCTGATCTCAGATACAGAATTCTCACTATTTGCAGTGTTTGGACGTGGGTCCACGGGTCCACGTTTACTCCGTTAACAGATGCCGTAGCCCATCACGATGCTTCCTATGCTCCCCACATATTTTGTGAGACTCTTTTTGTTTGGTTACTGACTCCCACCCAGCAGAGGATGATGGAATTCTTACCTCAAGCCTCAAGCAGAGAGGGACGTCATGGCTCTGTAGGAATTGTAGGAGGTGTTTTGCCAGGAGGCGTTCAAGACGTTGCGGAAGAGTATAGGGCAGATGGGGCATAACTCACGGAGCGTCGCGACCAGCGCGACCAGAGCGACCACAGGAGTCTCCCCCAACAGCTTTACATCCCCTTGCTGTCCATCATCATGTCCAGGTACATCCTTAGGCCCTGGTGGTTGTCACATCGCCCTCGTCACCAGTCGTTGGTCAGGATGACTTGAGCGACGGCCGCATGGGCTGTCAGGCCCGAGCCGGCGGGGTGTGTTTTGGGTTCTTGGGCATTGCGGCATTGCTAGGTTGGGCCTTAGCATTCTGGGAAGTGACACGTATAAGAGAGATTATATTCAAGGCTGTTTGATAGTGATTCCCAGATGTTGAACAAGTCTAGCTTTAGGCAGTGACATGGAACAATGCCTGAAGGCAGCTCATTTGCAGTGTGTTCATACATACATAATATACATATATACACAAAGTACGACTTGCATGTTGGTGAGTGTAAGGATTTTGTAGTTCATTCCCACACCCCATGTTAGTGCCTTTCCTCCCAAAACAGCCGATATTTGCAAGGCCGCGGTGCTGTCGTTGCCTTCACATGGGAAGACCTACCCAGTGGCAAATGGACTCAGTGGTGCGGCGACGGTGAGTGACTTATGCTGTTTTAGAACAATGGAATAACGAATGGTACTTTTTGCTTCGTTTTGCCTTTGGCATTTTTTTTGCGGGGTGGTTCAGGTTGGGTGCAATCATTGGAAACCGTTATGGTATTCGCTTTCGCGACCTTGCACAGTGACCACGGTCATGAGGCCCGGCCTGAGGTCCATCCGAAGCAGCCCGGAGTTCCCGTGGTTTGCCGATTGAATCGGAGGGAAGCTGCCGCTTGTCACCATCCGTCCCAGGCAGGACCGAGCTCCAGAGGTCGGTCACACGAGTTCCACAGGAACGCAGAGGTCACTTCGACGCTTTGGTTGCTCAAGGAATCCAGAAAGGCACCGGGCCGGACGAGAGAGTGGACTGCTGTGGCCATTGCTGTGGCCCTTGGCAAAGCGGGGCCGACGCACATGCCCCTTGGCAACGTCGCTTCGGCCCGGATCCAGTTCGGACCTCAGCGATGCAACAGGTTGCAACAGGTTGCAGCGACGCGTTCGGCAGAATTCCTGAGCCGAGCAGCGCGATGTCAACGTCCGGTCACATGGAAAAAATACATGGGTCACGGTCACATGGGTGTGTATTCTAATAGGGAGATCTCGGAGATCCCGAACTAAGCATTGGGTAGGCTGGTCTAGTTTCCTTCTTCCAGCGGGTCAACGAGAATCAATCTTCCTATTTGAGCTACACACCCACTCATGGTCCCTTCGAGGGCAAGCCGGGTACAAGAACGTCGCAACTTGCATCTGGGCATGGGAAAGAGCAGGCTTTCTCACTGCATGCTGCAACCGAATCAACAGCTGTATCAATAGCAGCCTGGAAAGCACCTGCTTGGAAAGGAGACTTTGAATACCTGGCAAGACCTTGTCGCCACAGGGCAGGAGCTATCGTGACCAGCGCCTGGTTGAGCCACCAGGGTCACGGGGATTTGATCCCAAAGAATACCGAAGCTTTTTCAGATGCTTTCAGCAACCGTTTGATTCTGTTATTGTTGTCTCCCGCAAATCATGTTGGTTTAAAGCTTTGGATGACTTGGATTGGGAGGCATGGATGGACGTACCACCGAGCATTGGGACCCATCCTCAGGCCCGGCCTCAAAATATGTTGCAACCATTCCTGGTTGCTAACTTACACTATGACTCACTAACATGGAAGTGGATGGCATGGTCCCTTGGAAGACGACTTTCCTTTACAAACCGGGGGTGTTCCACTTCCATGTTAGTGAGTCGGAGTGTGTCTATCTTTGACCTTACTCTCAGACTCTAGGCGCCTCTTTTGCATTTGCATGCAGAGAACTGTGTGTAGATGTGTAGATCCATATGATTGTCCTTTCGATTCTAACCATAGACATGGAGGCAGTGGCCAAAAGAATGCTCGTGCTCGGTGCAAAAGATCCAGGTTCCACGTCTATGACCAGTAGTTGCACAAAGGCAAAACGACTGGATGTTGTTTTCGATGTTTTTCCCACCACGTGTCCTCCCTTCTTCATCCTTCTCCCGCATGAGGTGTTGTTCCTCTCATTTGTTCGGAAAATACTCCCGAGAGTAGCGTCCAACGAGAGAGAGAGAGAGAGAGTTGTTTTTCCCATTTTGTTGGCACTGCCTTCAATCAAGTTTTCAACGCAGCTTGCCGGAGTTTGGGGGAGATTCTGCATGGAGATGAATCGGCTCCTGCCTGCCCGGGCAAGAATGCTACTGTATAAAGTATTCTCAGCATGTATTATCTATTCTGGCACCGGCAGCTGAAGCGGCTGAAGCGGATTTTGTTGGGTTTGGATTACAACCCTCCAACCAAACCTGAGGCCAATCACCCACTGAGCTCGCTTCAAAAAAAGCACTCAAACATTCAACTCCATGACGTTCATCAGAGTTCATCACTTTCCGCTTTCGATATACACTCCGACACTCACATGCAAGTGGATGGCACCACCTGTTCGTAGAAAGTAGTCTTTCAAGGGACCATGCCATCCCCTTCCATGTTAGTTAGCTTCTTACTAGTAGCGATGGCCTCCACCCCAAAAACGTAGTAGTGATGGCCTCCACCCCTCGCTCTTCGACCATTTGACTCGTTCCCGCACTGTTCGCTGAGACGGACCGCCGCTGCGTGGTGGTCATCGGCGGGGAGCGCTGCGATGAGACGCCGGACTTCTCGCAGATCAGGCGAGGGACATCTGGCGCCGACCTCTTCGGTGAAGGTAGTTGGGGTGGGGGGGGGCATTTTTCCGGGTCTAACATGGTCTAACTCACTTCGGATGTGGCTGACAGCCCTAAACGGAACATCTATCGAATCTATAGAATCTACTCATCAATATATAGTCATGAGTCATGAGTCATCACATCGCGCAGTTCTTGGTTCCTTTTCATTCGGGACGGGTCCCAGGGTCTAGACCACCGCAGGCAGCTGGCCGCGGTGCCGGTCTACGACACGGAGAACTCGCAATGGCGGGAGGATCCGGTGGTACCGCCCTTGGTCCGGGACGCCCGGTGCCGGTCCCACCGCAGGGGGTTTTGGAGTACGTGCTATAGAGAGAATTATGGGGTATGGTTCGATGATGTTCGATGTGTTCATTACATGCGTAGCGAAAAAACATCCTATTAAGGGCTACAAACTGCGGGGGCTCCAGGCGAAAGATGCGAAAGGACACTTCATAGACCTGAAACTCTCTAACGCAAATCATGCGTGGTTTTGTTAGTAACTATAGTAACTCTGCTTTGGGAATCTTGGAATGCGGCTTAAATGTCAGGTGCGAACAAGGCGTCCAAGGCTCAAGTAGTTTTGGCGAACACGTGGTCCACAAGGTTGATCTTTCAAGGCTGTTTTTGGGGGTTGGGGGGCGGACCAGAAGCAATAAGGCATTGGAAGACCAATCTCCAGCGAGCAAGGAAGACCAATCTCGAGAGACCATGTAAGTAGACATATCTTTCAGATGTGTCTTAGTGTTTCTTGCGACCATGTTTTTGCAAAGGAGAGGTGGAGTGATCATCCTAGCCACAAACGGTGCCGATCCAGGCCCCGAACTCTTCAGAACACTCTATTGACGGACTGCACCACTGCTGGGCTCAGAAGGTGGTTGGATCCCCTACAAAGCTTCTGGGATGTGTCCCACATTTAAGCCTTCCACTTTCTTGGTCAGATGTGCTCCAACCAAGAAGATGAACTCGGTTAGATGATCTCCTTCCCACCGTGCCTTTGTTCGGATGAACCGAAGAACCACCGCGTGCTCAGCCTTGTGCCCGCACGGCGGTGGCCGTGTGTGTGGGCATGGGACGTGGCGAGCTGTCCGGGTACCTAGCGTGCTCGAAACCGACATGGCTTGAGACTCTTGAGACGAACATGTCCAGCTGTTTCCATGAGTACTGAGTGACCCAGCTGTTTGGTTTGAGGTGAACATGCTGTGAATGATCTACAACATTCTAAAACTATATAAAACTCAAATGTATTAATTCAAATGTTGAGATAGGCCTTTTGTGCTTGGATTATCCCACAAATGTAGTCAGACGGTTTGCGGCCGCACTTTGCACTCTGCACTACCATTTCTTGATTTTATTTCTTTCTGGTGCGGTTCTTGAAAGATAACCCATGGTCCTTCCATGGTCCTTCCATGCTTGCACCCGTGGGCCCTCAGTGCAACCTTGCTGCCTGGCTGTGGGATTCAACAGAATGGTCAGTTTTGATGCGGGGCGGATCGGTGGGTAGCTTGAGTATAGTTCAGGAACCCTCCAAAATGCGTAGGAAGACGAAGACCTGACGCTCCCAAGCTGCATTTCACGTCCCATCATGAGATGGGTCAGCAACTTGTTTTTTTTGGCTACTCTGAACACCACAAGTTCGTGCGCAAAAGCTGCAATCGTCGACGGTTTCGAGTGCCTGGTGCCCAAGCCGCAGGCCACTTGAACCTGCCTGCCGCAAGTCGCTCTCCGAGCGCTTGGTGGAGGGTGTGCCGCACATGGAGGAGGACGAGAACGGGTTCATTTGGCTGAAGCCGCTGTGGAAAGAGCTGCCTAGTGAATCAAGACCATCCGACCATCCAAGAGTTGTACAAATGATTTGAGATTGATAAAGATGATAAAGGCTTTCTATGTGCATACCTGGATCCTGCAATGATGCCTTTTGCCCTTCTCACCGTAAAACACAATGCAGAAAGACTGATGCAGTGCAGAAAGTTTGCGATACAACACGTGACGCCAAAATGATGCAGAAAATAACACAGAAGTAACAAGAACTGACACCACAATTGCTTGTTGTGCTGTTTTCTTGAGCTTGGCCTGAAACTTGCTCCCACCACAAACAAAAAAAGCAACTATTTGGGATGCACAATGGATGGACACTATTCCACGCCGCTGGAGAACGATTATGACCCTTTATCCTAAGGGTTTTCGCAGAATCCTGATTTTCTTACGATGTGTTGGACTTTGGTCGCTAAAACTGCAGGATGCCACCGTTTTAAAGAACACATGGTAGGGAGTGTTCGAACATGCATCCAGTCATCGTTTACGCGTATTCCATCCAGTCAATGACTGCAGAGTCTGTTGTTCGGAACATGTTAGGTTTCAGGGTTGATCAGGTTGGAGTTCCTTTCCAAGGATCACATTGCAATATCCAACCCATCACAACCCCATCCAATAAGGAGCAACCCGTGAAGTATCCATGGGTAGGATCATTCATATCCCACCCAAGCACCTTCGAGGATTGAAGTTGCACGACCCAAGCCATGCTTGAACAATGACGCCTTCCACCTTCAACATCCTTCAACTGTTGCTCGTTTCCAGAGACTGAAAAACGATATCTCCATCCTTCCACGGCGTTTTGCATGGGGGGCCTAAGAACAAAAGTACGATCGGGGCCAAGATTCTGGGAGGTTACATATATCGGTTCCAGGTCGCATGTCGCGCCATGGTGTCCAGGTGTTCTATTGAGTCGCGAGTTTTTTCGCTTTGCATTTTGTTTATATAATATAGTTTGCTGTTACGAGCAAGGACGCTACTAGGGGCTCCTGGCCTTACTACTAGGAGCAAGATGCTACTAGGGGCTCCTGGCGTCGCTACTAAGAGCAAGGACGCTAAGAAAATGGTGTTGGTGGGGAACGGGGTCCAATTGTATGTCCAAGTCGCTATCGGAGAAGGGATGTGAACAAAAGACATTCCCGGTCAATGACTCATACTAAGCTATATATATAGATATTATATATACGTAGATTTATATGTATAGAGAGAGTGAGAGCTCATCCATCCTCTAGACTTGTCAAGATAGAGATTCCGATATCATACACGTCTAGTCGAGGTGTCACGTGTTCCAATAGTCCTTGCCAGGCCATCCTTGTTGAACAACAAACATTCCTAATAGGGTATTGCCCAGAACTGCCCCAGCGTCAAATTGTCAGCTGATAAGATAGCAACTTGGCAATGCTGCCCTCTCCCACTTCTCGGGGTCGAAAGATTGAAGTGTTCGTTGGAATCTAGATGAGATCCATACCTAAAAAAGAAAGCAAAGCGATTGCTTCCAGGAAGAGGATGAAAGCGATGAGGAGTGCTGGGAGCTTCGCTCCTGTGGAAGTCGGTAACCACAGGAAAGATACAGTGTATCGGCAACATGTGCTTTACAGATTTTGGGTAGTTGAATGTGAGTGCGAGAGTGCGAGACGAAAACTGTCGACGTCCAGGCTTTATCCCAGATTGGGTCAACCTCAACGGTTCATCATGACATATCATGACCAAGGGGTGTTCTGATGCTTTAGAGCTCCGTTCGGCGAAAACATATAGGTGGACGGTGTGACATGCCTTGCTCGGGCCGCCTAGCACTTCGCAAGGTGTGGACAGAGAGACCATGATGTACAGCAAAGTGGTGCTTAAAGTCCCATTGTTCCTTTTGGGAATGACATCCTTTCCGTGTGTGTGTGTGTGTGTGATGTTTTGTTCCCTTTGACATGTTGAGTTGCCTTTGCTCTGAACTTGATGATTGGCCTTGTTTTGACCAGTTGCATGTCCCACCCACTTCTAGATGCGCCGTTGCGGCTTTTCTTTTTTTTTTGTGTGTGTGTGTGTGTCAACACCCGTTTCCAGGGACACACCAACCTTCCTACTCTATTCTACTCATTTTACAGACTCCGCAGGGAGGTAGTGCACAACTGACAGACACTACCCAACGAAGACACTGTGAGTTCGTGGTGAAGCAATGTGGGATGCCACATTGTGTACCTACCTGCTTATTTTACTGCTCCCTCTCGCTTCACGCGCGTTAAACAATTCAAATCTTTGGACCGACCTATCACCATTTTGTTTTGCAGCCAAGGTCTAACTTGCGGTGCAAGTGCTAATGCTCACCGAGATCCACTCTGAATATTGCTCCTTTGAGCATCTCTCTCAAGTGTCAAGATCAACTACTGTATATCCTACAACTCACAGGAGTTGGCTTGATTACCCAGAAAGGTTAGTGATGTGTACCCGCCGACCCATCCATTTGTGGGCGTCGCCACCGGCCATCCCAAGATGGTGGAAAGCGAGGGACGGGCATCACTCACCAAACCTTATACTCACCACCGCTGTCCCACTCAGGGCATTAAACCAACCAAGCCAACCCAGCTTAAGATCTTCCGGGGGGTGCCGATTCGATCCAGGACCTGGAAACTCCTGGTGAATGAGACTCAAATCCACGTCCAGGTCGTGAACGGCAGACACCCCGAGTCGCTCCGATTGGCTCGCAAAAATCAGGTTTGATGTTTGGAGGGTTACGGCTTAGGAGGCTTGAAGCTTCACAACAGAAAACACTGCCGCCTTTCTAGCCAACGAATCCAAAAACTGAACTATACGTATATATTGGGGAGTGGACAATCCATCATCGTGCCCAATGTTTGTCTGAGATGTAGATGATGTAGTGGAGCAAGTGGCACAGGGATTGATGGGAGTAGATCAAAATCGGATGGCATTTGGTGATCCAAGTGTTCGTGAAATGCAAATATATAGAGGATATATATACAGCACAGTTAACATGATATAATATAGTGATATCATAAACACAAATATCGATAATAAATATGATGCTATTGAAGACGAAACAGTGTAACAATAATATATATATATATTATGTAGTTTTTCGTTCAACAATAAAGCCGTGTTTGAGTTGTGAGCTGTTGTGTTTGGAGAAAAAACGCCAAAGGGAGTGGAGGCCACACCTACAAGACCTGTTCGTTCCACAAGACCTGCGAGGTGCCCTGTGACGAAAATGCCTGGGCACTGCCAATGATGTGATTTGTCAATGCCGCATAGAGATTGCAGCGTCGTGGAGTGTTTTGTGGCTTGCGCATTTGATAAAGCCGGTTCACTCAAAAAGGTAATGTTTGTCACAAGGGATTCAGGCATTCTGAACATTCGGATTCATCAGACATAGAAATCTAGCCATCGAAGCTTGATACACAAGACATCACTAGCACCGCAATGCGGATATTTGTGAACAGTCACTAGCCAGTATTGAGCCCATTCCGTCGCCAAATAGGTGTCCTGTTTGTGGCAGCTGCAGCTGAAAAACACTCATTTACAGTTCAATTCCTCTTGTTCCTTCACGGGGATGGTCTTGGATTCATTGGATGACCGTCATTTACTCTATACAAAGGATTACAAAGGCGTTTCATCCCAGACCGTGGCTTGTTTTTTTTCTTGGAAAACGATACGGGATGTCCACATGAACGATACCCCTATTTAATTTATGCAATATATCCTTCGATGTTGATGTGCCAACCCTGCAAAACGATACGGGATGTCCAAACCTTGAAGGAATACACCCATAAACATATAACTTGAAAAAATACAGCTCGTTTAATGGAGATAAGAACCACAGATGAACAATGTAAGGGCCCTTTAAAAGGCGCCTTACCTTCCTTGTCTAATGTTTTTGCTTGCTTTATGACTTTGTTTGGTACTTTTTGTCACAAACTTGTTGAGTGCTTTGGCCAAAAACACTCTAGGAACGTTCTCAGGATCGGTTTATCGCAGTGTGAGCGCTCACACTGCGAGAGTGTAGCTGCGTCAGAAGACGGCCCAGTGAAGCATTGAAGGATGGTCAACAGGGAAAGATGAATGACATCAGTTTGGCTATTGACAGAGTGGGTTCTTCTATAAGCCGGAAATAAGCTAGCTTACAAACGCTTCTTCAAAGAATGATCCACCCAACAAGCTGAGTGTCGAGCTGAGTGTTGTGGCAAGGCTTGGTCGGGTTGTCCTCCCCAGCAATCGTTTCTTTCGGCCTCGCCAACCTTGCTCGCTGTCCTTCAAGCGTCCAAGCCATGAACTAGATGGCTGAGCCCTCTCAAGGTGAAGATGAATGTTTAAATCCAATCAGTGCCTGGCGTTCAGGAACTTCGAAGCGTCGCAACGGTTGTAAGGGATCTTTCGCTGTACATAAAAGGCACTGGAATGTTTTGTGTCTGGAAGTTCAGCCTTAAAGAATTAGAGTCACTGCGTGTACACGATCAATCAATTGGCCTCGAATTGAAGTGGGTCACTTCAAAAACAACCAGGTGTTCGAAAGAGATGAAGATTCCAGGCCTCCAACTTAACCCATTTTCTCAACCCCCCTTTCCCGGACATTCTTGACTTCTGTGTGCGTGCTTCACCCAAAGGGATTTCCCCGGACCGCGAATACCATGCGGAGAGACTCACCGGGAGAGCGCAGATTTGTTCACCGATAGAATAGCACCACAGACTTCCTGTTTTCGAATGGTCCATGGCGGTTGATGTGTGGTTTTTGTTTGTTGCGGATCCGCGTTGAGCGGAAGTGGATAATGGTGCCCAGGAGTCCCAGAAGTGTGTGTTTGTCTTTGTATTTGGTGTGTTTTTACGGTGTTTGTGGTGAGAATATACTCTCCCTCCAAGAATCATGGAAGTGGACCCATACCCTGGAAAGAGGATGTTCTACAGGCAGGGGGCTGTTCACTTCCATGGTAGTTGAAGAAAGGTGATCATTGATAGCTTCGCATATGATTGAGTCTTCTCAAAGGCATCCCTAGCCATGCCTCTCCCTTCACTATCTCTCCAATGATGATTTGGTTACGAGCACCAACACGTCAATCAGTAAATGTTAGGTGACCCTTGCCTTAACACCGTTTTCAAGGTGGTGAGGGTGAATGCTATCCTAAGCTGATGGTGGTGGTGGAAGGTGTGCGGGATGCAACGAATCGTTTGTTGGTCGATCCGTTCCACCCTTGAAAGAATCTCTAAATGCTTCTGAGAGAGTAGTTTGGAGGGCCACTTGGATACAGCATGACACAGCCGCAAGCTTTTTTTGTTATTATTATTTTTTTTTCCGCAGGTAGGACTATACAACGGTTACAAATTTGCTTTAGTCATAACGACGTAGGTTGGTTTAATTTGTAACTGTATGGTGCAATATAAGTCACCCCTTGTCCCCTTGTGGCTTGGGGTGAGTGTCCTACCTTGATACGAATCCTCGTGACCCTCGAAGTGTGAACGTCAGAACTGAGCCACAGCTGAGGGTTGAAGAGATGTGGAAGAGAAGAGATGAGAATTTCCAACAGATCCGATTGGCGTCTGAGGCTTTTGCTCTACCATGCTCTACTTATATTGATTATAGAACCCAAGCCAACTGGCCAAGCAACCTGACCCTGGAAAGGCAGCAGCCAAGTTCCAAGCAGCCATGACTCCCTACCCTGTTTGGATCACTGCCCGCGGCCCCAGTCTGGCCCCGCCCGAAGTCGCCCCTTGGACCGGATCACGACCGGGGATAGAAGAGCTTTTCATGAGATGGATCGGAAGGACCACTCAAAGAGTAGATTTGATGCGTGCCTGGAGCAGATTGGTGTGTCAACGGGATGGACATTTCGATGTTGTGCTGACTCTTGGCCACGTTTGACGTGTTTGTTTGTTCGATTATCAGACAGGATCGGATATCCTGATATCACTGATATCCTAAGTTGAAGAATGTCCAAGACCACACATGGGGGCTACATGAATTTTGGGGATCAGTTCTAGTTGTAGCATTTTTTTTCAGCACCCCATGCTGGGGGTGGATGCCAGTGCTGAGCTTGGGGATGCGGAGTTTGGAGCATGGAGATATCATGCGATATCCATCCCACAAGTTTGTGATGAATCACACAACATGAAGCGGGGAATGTTCCCGATGTTGCATCAGCCAGGAGTATGCTGCTGAGTTGAAACTCATTTTCCCCACATTGACATTCAAATCGTTGGAGCGTGTTGGAGCTTCTCTTTCTCAGTCCTGCAGGTGTAAATGTACCTGATTTAGGATGTGCCGCCCGGGGATTCGAGCCTTGCTGGACTCCCCATAGCCAATGGGCACGCGATGCTTGTGGCAGTCGCACGCGATGTTAGTAGAGTCCAGTGGTCCTGAGCCTTGCAGGTGGTGACGAAGTTTTTTTGACTCCATTAGCCAGTTGGGCAGAACAATATCTATATTGCCACCAAAACCAAAGGTGAGAGACTCTGTTCAGACTCAGACTAGACGTTCCTCATTACTTCCATAGGCCCACTGATGTGTTGAGGAACTCGCATTCATGTTGTAGCCTGAGATGTCCTCAAAAAGGAAGCCCGCAAATTGTCCTGTTGCAGCCGACCTCGCCACAAACAGCATGCTTCAGCGGTGGCTGCAGGAGAATTGATCAATGCACAGCTGCCGAAAAAAAGAGTCGAAGGGTTCAACAGGAGTCTTTAGGGTTTAGGGCACTTGGTGTGTCCTATTTCCAGTAACAGTCGGTAAGAGATCGGATTTTGTTTTTCAGAATGGCCTTTACAAAGCATCCTCCTCCACTGTTACTGGTGCAAAAAGATGCAAACGCATCCTGATAACTAATCAGAAGGAATGCAGAAAAAAAAACACATCCACTCTTATTTCTGGTGGATACATATGTATATATATATATTATATATATAGATAGATAGATAGACCGTAGACCTAAAAGGTTCAGGGTGACCCTTCTCCTGCTGGGCAGTCTTTGACCGGACACCCATGAATGACTACGATCTCTCGCCGGGGGACTGGAGAGATCGTCTTCCCTGCTGCGAAACCGGCCTCGGCAACCGGGGCCCTGCGCCGAAGTTTTCGGCGTTGTCTCCAAATCATTAACCCACGTCTCACAGGTTGCCAAACGCGGTTCCAGAAGGTCAGCCAAGCGTGGTGGGAGAAAGTAAACGTAGCGGGGAAGAACGTAGCGGGGAGACTTTGTGAACATACGCGTGATTGCAAGACATGCTCACACTGTCACAATAGCAACCACCAGGTGGCGTAACTACAAATGTATCAAGCTGGACCGTTCTTCACGTCAGAAAATCAGTGGTCTTCCAGTGTCACGACTGCTGACCGGCCTGGTGCCGGCACCAGACGCAGATGGCTTGCCTGTGGCTCCCAGTGTCTATGTGATAAATATTGAACCTCACCAGTCCAAGAACATCGATTCAGCTGTAGGTAGGAGACATGCATCTCAGAATGTCTTGCGGTACTGCAGATTAGTGGTTTTTGGTGCGGCCGTCTCGAGCATAACAGAGCTTGCAACACGTAAGAGTCGCTTTTTGGGCCTTGTGCTAGCCTATGTATACTAGTAGCCTAGTAGCTAGAAGCTACTAGGTTGGCCATCGCTAGTAGGTTGGAGGCCATTACTAGCAGCTAGAAGCTACTATGTACTGTAGAAGAACCTGGGACCCCCAGGCAGCTCAGGTCATCCATTCCTCTTAGGTATCCTGCCACGTGCCGGGCACAGCGCCATGTTTGGTGCCATAAGCGCCTTTGGCAGGTGAGCCAAAAGCGCCGTGTTTGGGTGGAGTTGGAGTGGAGAAGCTCTGAAACATGCTGGCCTTGGCGACTGGAGCTGGGGTTCGAGAAGATGGCCCTTCCTCCGCTAAATCAAGATATTTGGTAGCTTACAGCACTCGCAGGTTCTGGGGGCCAGACATTCACTGGCAATTTCCGACTTGCAGAAGAGGTACCTCAGATAATCTCAGTATTTCATACCGGGATTTACCGCGGAATCCGAATATGTCGCACGACTTCTTTTTTGGGAGGGCGATACAGTCCGATCGTCCGATGAAAGCGCACGTGATGCACATGGATTTCTGCTGTGAGTAAGGCTTGGAAGGAAACACATGCTTTGCTGGAATGAGTTGAATGACACGAGCCTTTTTCACACGCATATTCGTGGCTGCATCAGCAAAATTGAATGGCTGCTGGTAGCGGTGCCAATGCAGGAGATCGAGCTTGAGCAGTCTCGAAGAGATGGCACAAG